TGTTGCTCTCCAAGATCATGCAAGAGAAAACGCTCTTTCAAGCACGCACGGTCCCGCCAACCGGAGGCTTTCTAAAGGAGCTTCCTTAATCTTGAACTAGGACAGGATGCAAAACAGTGACTAGTTCGAACACGACGTGCTTTGAACACTTCGGTAAGTGTGGATACATTTTGCACCAGCCCAAACATCTGACCTGCAGTCAAGGGTGGCCTGGCCCACCCCACCCGGAAATCAGCAGTGCAGGAACCGGCTCCTCCAACCCCAAAATTGCAACTGGAAAATCCATGCAGACTTCTCAACAAAGCAATGCAGAGAAACAGCCTGCACCTTGGGGGGAGAGAGAGAAATGCTTTGCTCAAAGTCTCTATTAATGGGACCAAAATTCTGGCTGATTAACCAGTAGGTCATGAATTCAAATGCTGATTTCATCCTTAAGTATCACAGCGTTCCCACCGTTCTCTCCAACGTCTCGCCCAGTCTCCCCAAACCTGTAGAAAACTGGTACCAAGGACCACAGAATTCGGGCCAGAGATTTCTCTTGCAAGGGAACCTCTCCTTGAAATAAAACCCAGGGGGCCAGGGAACTGCCATCAGGACAATCTCTCTTCCGTTTCTCTTTTCATCTCCCCATAAGTGATCCTTTATCCACAGATGGTTAATTTGGAAACTCAAAAGCGAATCCTGCAAGCACGCCGCGTGCTTTGCACGAATCCTAAAAACCTACTCTCGCGGAAACTTTCACCTCTCTCTTTTTTCCAGAATTTAACACAACAGATCAGCAGGGAAGATGTTTGCTCCTGGCGAAGGTTACAGAATTCAGGCTGGCGGAGGATGGAAGGTGATCTGAAAGCAGCTTCTCACCTTCCCCAACAACATCTGTTCCCTTCTCCCTTAGTGCAACCAAGTGCCCAAGATCACAGGGAAACTCAGCCTCGCCTAATCCTAAAATCAGCACCTTCATTTCTCCCTTTATTTTTTGTAAACAAAGCTAATTCTGCACCACTGTGGGATTATTATTATTATTATTATCACTACTACTACTACTACTACTACCCATTTTGCAAATGCTTGCAAAGGGTTCACACTAAGTGGCTGACCCACCCTAGATCATAATTCAGCCAGGCTTCTGGGATTCAAGTCTATTCAGGACCAATCCATACAAACTCTGCACAGTGTTAGCTCTTATTTTCTCGCATAAATGAACGTCCGAGCTTAACAAACATCGGAGTCCTTCTCTAGAAGCGTGAATGTCCAAGACCTGCCTGCGAGAGGCTGAGCGATCGCTGCTCCCAATTCAACATCAAACCCAAAGTGATTCTTGGCTCAGATGAATAAGCTGTTCTCCCCATTGAGTTAAAAACCCCACACAATTCCAGCCCTATACTGCTGAACGCAGACCTCCTGAAACGAGTAAGACCTGCTTATTCAAATACATGTGCAATTGCACGACTGAATTTGTTTGTTGTGGTTGGATCTGAGTGTCGGTGGCTGATTAATTATTATTTATTTTTATTTATCTCCTCTGCCCCCCTGTCAACTGCTGCTGGGAGCTGCACAAAGGCATTTCGGACCGAGCAAGGGGAACGAGAGGCAAAGCTTAAAAGAAATGAAGGGTTAACTCTGGATGTACTTTTTCCATCAAGGCCAGATTTGCTAAGTTTCCCCCGAATTGGAATTCAGAATCACCAGATGTTAAAAATTACAGGGAGGCAGTTCAACCCACCAGGAGAGACATTTCCCAGCTATCCAGAACTGGACTTCCACAAATCTCTTCCCCAATGCTTTTTCTTTCAACTCTGATTTTTATCTGGATTGCAATCGTATGAATGCTGCTTTAGTCGTTTCTTGGCATGCTCTTTGCTTTGCAAGCCGCTTTGATTATTGGACGAACAGAAAGGCAGGATACAAATCCAATAATAAATAAAATAAAATGCCCAGCTTGGTCACCACAAGATGGAACAGAGTTTAGCCCTTCCTACCTTGGCTCTAAGAAAGTTCAATGTATTTCTTACTCTGGTGGAATCTTCTCTCATGCTCTGCCAGTCCAGGTGGGCTTTGCTGGTGAACCTAACCCTGCGACTGAAGCCCTGTTCCTCTCGCTCTTGGGGGGGGGGGGGGGGA